GGCTAAAGACGGCACGCTCAAGTGTTTTGGAGAGAAAAGAAAGAAGGGATACTGGTCTGTAGTTGTTGACATCAGAGGGATCGAGTGTTGGTTTTTTGAGAAGGGGTGCAACTCTCGCTCTCTTGAAGACGGAAGGGACATAGCCAGAGGTCAAGGATGAGTTGATGAGCGAGGTGAGGTAAGGGAGAAGGTCACCGGAGATGGTCTGAAGAAGAGAGGAGGGGATAGGGTCAAGCGGGCAGGTTGTTGGGCGGCCGGCCATCACAAGTCGCAAGACTTTATCTGGAGAGAGAGGGGAGAAAGAAGTCAAAGCATAGGGTAGGGCAGTGTGAGCAGGACCAGCAGTGTCATTTGACTTATCAAACGAGGATCGGATGTCGGCAACCTTCTTTTCAAAATGGTTGACGAAGTCATCCACAGAGAGGGAGGGGGGGGGGGGGGGGGGGGGAGGATTCAGCAGGGAGGAAAAGGTGGCAAAGAGCTTCCTAGGGTTAGAGGCAGATGCTTGGAATTTAGAGTGGTAGAAAGTGGCTTTAGCAGCAGAAACAGATGAAGAAAATGTAGAGAGGAGGGAGTCAAAAGATGCCAGGTCCGCAGGGAGTCTAGTTTTCCTCCATTTCCGCTTGGCTGCCCGGAGCCCTGTTCTGTGAGCTCGCAATGAGTCATCAAGCCACGGAGCAGGAGTGGAGGACCGTGCTGGCCAGGAGGCTAGGGGACATAGAGAGTCAAAGGATGCAGAAAGGGAGGAGAGGAGGGTTGAGGAGGCAGAATCAGGAGATTGGAGGGAGAAGGATTGAGCAGAGGGAAGAGATGATAGGATGGAAGAGGAGAGAGTAGCGGGAGAGAGAGAGCGAAGGTTGCGACGGCGCATTACCATCTGAGTAGGGGCAGAGTGAGTAGTGTTGGAGGAGAGCGAGAGAGAAAAGGATACAAAGTAGTGGTCGGAGACATGGAGGGGAGTTGCAGTGAGATTAGTAGAAGAGCAGCATCTAGTAAAGATGAGGTCAAGCGTATTGCCTGCCTTGTGAGTAGGGGGGGACGGTGAGAGGGTGAGGTCAAAAGAGGAGAGGAGTGGAAAGAAGGAGGCAGAGAGAAATGAGTCAAAGGTAGGGAGGTTGAAGTCACCCAGAACTGTGAGGGGTGAGCCATCCTCAGGAAAGGAACTTATCAAGGCCGTCTTCAGCAGTGACATAAAAAGAGGCACTGAATCTGGAGGCCTAATCTCCTCTGGCAGACCATTACAATGGTCACCAGTGCCCTGCCAGAGGATCTCAGGCTGCATCCTGGCTCATAGGGAGAGAAAAGATCTGAGATATAGGATGGGACTAAACCAAGCCTAGCGTTAAATGTGATTAATACAATTTTTAAATATATTCTAAAAGTGTCTGGTAGCCAGTGTAGAGAAGCTAAAATAGATATGATACGTTTAAAGGAGAGAGAGAGAGATTGGAAGTGACAGACAGGAAGTGCTTTCACAGGACTGGACTATCTGTTCCAAAGTGGACCTGAATAGGGAGTAGCATTTCAACACCAACCAACTGGAGGATGATGACCAAGAAGATCTGATCAAGTCCTCATCAGCAGGACTGTCACCATGTCTAAGTCAGATAGGTCATCAAACCGAGATTGAGGCAAGCAAGGCAGATGAAATTGGGAGTTGTATTTCATCGTCCATTATAATTGAAGAGTTCATTCCCTTTTTGGTAACAAAAAGGCAAACCAAAACAATGTACATTTAAGTTGCTGTTTACTATTGAATCTGTCCATTAGTTCAAACTAAAATCAAGAATGGCCTCCACACCAATATTTGTAATGCTTACTTTTATCTTTCATTGTACTTTCAGAGATCACAGATTGAACACAATAGAACTAGACAGTTAAGTGGTTAGGGCATTTTCCTGGATTTAAATGCAGAGTATTTTAGGATCAGATTATATTAGTCTGTAACTGGAACATCCCAATTAAATTAGAAGGGTATTACATTGTAACGTATAGCCCATAAACCAGGTCCCCAAACAGCAGCCATCTTGGATACTTGACATTGATGAGGCCAAGAGTGTCCTGAAATGTCATCAGCTTCCTGAATGGGATTTATTGGGAAAGATGAATAAGCTGCTTTACATATCTACAGTACACAGCAGTTACTGACCAAGCCACTAGGGGGACACATACTTGTTTTAAACGGTTTTCATTAATGCGAAAGCTTTCAATTTGTATGTAAATCATGAGTTGTGCAATCAAAGTGGCGTAAACTATGCCTGGAGGACCATTGGTGTATGAATTGCTTTGAAGTAGTGGATACATTGCATTAACTGCATAATGTTGAAGTACAGTAAATAGGGCAGCTAATCCATGGGGAAACAACCGATTGTCCAGAGTGACAGGAATCAGGAAATAAACACAATCCTTCTAAATTAATTTCTTCACCCTAATTCATTGTAATGTGTCTGGACTAAGTGATGTTTGCCCTTCTTTTGGACAACTGAAAGATTAACCCACTTCCACTTTTGTTTAGTGTTTATAAGCCACTGCTTCAGCAGGTTTTGTTGAATTGTAACATTTATTATTTTTTTGATTCACACGTGTACAGTACTCAAACCTGCACTGAATGTGTCTGCTCTCCCGCCGCTCTTGAAGAATACAGTAGACATGTGCTTAGAAAGAGCTCCCTCACCCTAAACCATTCTGCATGTACACGACTGCATATCTGGCCTAATTCCAAACCGAACCCATGCCCCTATCCCAAGTACCTTGTTGACTCCTTTCTTATGGATCTGAAACTGTTCAATTGATAATGCCAATATTTTATAGTAAGCTGCTCTACCTCGGCATCTATGATAAATAGGTTGTTTCCTTCCAATGTATTTCTTACAACAACAGTTATCAGATGCTTCAAGGTGTCAACATTGGCCTGTAGATAGGTGCAATGGCTTGATTTCGAATCAGACCTTTGTATCAAAGAGGGACCAAGTAAAGGACTAATGTCAAAGTGGTATGTGGGAGATGGATCAGAGAGGGGGCGAGGGAGTGTGGTGGATTTTTAGTTACTTTGGGTTTTGTTGACTTTTCATTAAAAAAATGGAGACAGTGCTGTATGACCTCTTATTTCTCTCCCAATGTTTCACACACAATATTTTACTGGGTACCAGTTTCTCATCAGTTAATTTAGGCAAGAGAATATGACAAATACAAGCAATCCAATACTTGATTAGCCTGGAATAAACCTAGGCTAGTTATTGGAGAATTTTTATTTATTTATCTGGGTGTATCTGAAAAATAATGTCGGCTGCAACTGTGTTAAAACAGTGTACAGTAAATGTATATTTTGTATTTGTAAAATCATTTTTGATGTGAAATGAAAGTAGAGGGCCTAATGTTTCCAAAACACTATCAGTGGAGGCCATGTGTTTGGTGTATTTGATACCATTCCACTGATTCCGCTACAGCAATTACCACGAGCCTGTCCTGTCCAATTAAGGTGCCACCAACCTCCTGTGAACCGTATAGCAATCGAGAATCAGTTCACGTTTAGATGGAGCATCGGGCTGTTTTGGCTGCTAGAGCCAGTTCGCCAATGGAGTGAAACAGTCCTCACCATATGTATTTGGACAGTGAAGCTAATCTTTCTTATTAGCTTAGGATTTGAGATCATATGATGAGGCGGCAGTACAGAATGTCACTTTGTATTTGAGGATATTTTCATACATACTGTATCTGTTTTACATCTTAGAAGTAAAATCATTTTATCTAGCCCCCCTATTTGAAGAAATCCTAAGTATTTGGACAAATTCACCTATAGTGTAGTAAAGTAGTCTAAAGGTTCGTATTTGGTACCATATCCCTTTTACATAATGACTACATCAGGTTTGTGGCTTGAACACACAAGAACACTAGAACCATCTTTCTCAGTTCTCAGGTTGACCTAATGTAGTTCAGGAAAAGGAACAAATGATATTGGATGGTTTCTGGGAAATAAACACAAACGCACATCAGATATTTACAAAGACTAACTAGTAACTCAACAACAAAGGACTGTAAAAGATAATTGATCTTGAGCTAACAACAAGGCATTAGTGGTCAAACCCATGGCAAACAAATCACACTAACAAAGGAATTATTTAAAACCAAATGCTTGGATATCAAAGGAAAGATAATACACTTACTTGATCAATAACTGATACGTTCTCATACTTACAGCTATACATACTCACACTTTCATACTCACATTCACACACGAACCCCACCTTCAACAGGTCTGATCACATACAAGGCCCCTGGATAGGCAATCGAGTAGGCTACTTCCTTACATCAAACTAGATGTAGCTCCGGCGCTGATGTGCTCTGGCATTTGCAGGACAGAGCTTACTCACCAATTCTTTCCCTCTCACTGTTTATTCTCTTCCCCTGTCCCCCTTGCGCCTTATCGCTCTATATTGTGTCGTTATGACTATCTTCTGCATGCAGTAGTATGAGAGAGTTATGGATCCTGTCTTAGATCGCACTATCTTTTGTATGCATTAGTGTAGTATGAGTTCT